CTAAGGTAGCCAAAGCAATGGGACTTAGTGCACCCACGCACGCACAAAAGAGAGAGAGAGAGAGAGAGAGAGAGAGAGAGAGAGAGAGAGAGAGAGAGAGAGAGAGAGGCTGAATGGCAAAATTGGAACATGTATCAGATTGCGGCCGCTATCTATATCGTAGTTAAAATGAAAATTTTAAATTTATTTAATATTTTTCCTGGAAAGGTCACAACAAAACCTACTTGGCCAACACATGGCTGAGTGGCAGAAATGGAAAATGTGTTGAATCCGCATGGCAGTTATTTCGCGGTCGTAATTTTTTTTTTTTTTTTTTTTTCCTGATATTACTCCTGGATAGATCACGACCTAATCTACATATTCTCAAATTTTCAGATTTTTTCTGAAAATTCTTCTGAGCAGAAAAAATTTGACAAAGTTGCCTCTTGCAAATTGCGGGACTGAACCCGCTGGTACCCCTTTCGTGTAGGGGCCTAGTGGAAAGCAACGTCCATGCGCGTCCACACCAGACCCTGCCTCAAAGCCTGGGCCTGAGGGCATTGGCAAACGGGTTTTCTCTTTAGCCCCTTTTGCAGTTCACATGCAAGGGAGGACCGTTCCTCCCAACTTTGCTATCGCACCGGTTTTATGCGTAATAGCTGTAGGTAGTCCATAAAAACGCGGCGGACCAGTCCCCCAACAACTTCCACCCTCTTAGAACCCACTTGCGCGCTGGTCCCCAGCCGCTGAAAACGTGCCACTTGACACGAACGCCGAAGCCTACCATACTGCAGCCTTAGGGCTGCGAATTCCAAGAGAGAGAGATGCACAAAAAAGTTCCAATAAATTCCAACCACACTTTCAAAATTAAAGTACCATGTAGAGTAACCCCAACGCATTACTTTGCAAAATTAAAACTTTCCGTGCGCAGACGCATGCTCGCCCGCCCAGATGCACAGCACCCCCAGACAGCATCCTCAGCAACCCCAGCGTAACAAAAAAAAGGAAAAATCAAAACATCGCGGAGATTCGGAGAATAATATGTTGTGTAGAATTCCAATGCAAAGTTGCAAACGGCTTTTCATTTTTTTGGAAAGAAGTGCACAAATTTCTTTTTTCTTGGAAGCAGTCAATTTACAGCAACGGTCTCACCCCACCTTGAACGGGAAGGTGGTCACAGCAACGAGTCCTGGAACGAAAAGATCAGCAGTACAATTGCAAAATCCCCACGAAAAAGAAGAAGAGGAATAGAGATTATAGCAAAACAAAAAAAACAAGAGTAGATATCCAAGTGCAGTAGAGTAGAATAGCAAGGCCTATTGCCATGTGCAAATGCGTTACAACAAAGTCATCAGTACACCTGCACCGACATAGTCACAGCTCTAAATGCACGCGTTACCCAATGTAAATTTCGGCTAGCTGCACACCAGCACTTGTCAATGGGCAGGTCGCTAACCATAACAAATTTGAAAATAGCCCACCTGTGTGTGTGTGTGTGTGTGTGTGTGTGTGTGTGTGTGTGTGTGTGTGTGTGTGTGTGTGTGTGTGT